AGTTTCTCAACTTGGGCAAGGAAACAGTTGTCGTGTCCCAGCCAAGTTTTGAAACATTGGATCAAACAAATCCCCTTGTTACTTTGTGGTTTGTGCCTCTATCATGAACTAATCATGCAGAAACTAGCTTAGAAGGTTGTATTATATAACCAAGCTGCGGCTCGAGCCATGCCCTTTCGAGCTGCTTGTGCAAGTCCAATCAGCCAAGATCCTCCTCGAGACCAAAAAAGGGGCCAAGAAAGAAGAAAAAAGTATATGGATTTAGAGAAAAATCCAAAAAATAAAGCGAAATGAGGAAAAATATATAAAACATGAAAGGAAAAAAAATGATATTTATAAAATAATATAAACATAAAGAGAAATGAAAAAACAAAAACAATAGTCAATTATAAACATTAAAAAACCTTAAGATATATATAAAAAGCAAAGAATAAATCAATTATCATTGATTTTACTTGAATTAAATTGAAAAACATGTAACATAGACGAAATATATAGGCCGATTTCCCGATCTTTGTGCTCAGTGCAATTCAAGACTTCAATTCCTTGCCAAACCTTCTGCATGTAACCCCAATCAAAACGTTTAAACATTTGTTGGGTTTTGACTTCAAACCTAGAGTATCCATGACTACCAAATTTTCGGAATACAAGAAAATCCAAATTTGAAATCTATAAAACCCAAACTCCTTTTTGTTTTTTGCGGAAGAACTAGCTATGGTTAGGTCAAGAACACAAATATGCATGTAGGGTTCAATTTTCATCAAAGATGGACCATCATCCAATGTGAAAAAATCAAAGTTTTCCAAAATCGGGGCAAGAAGATACCGATTTCTTCGACCTAGAGAATGTGAGGAAACAAATGGTTTTTCTCAAATCCAATACTTCCACTACATAAATCTAGTGATTTTCTAACATAATCCAGATTTTTACATAAAAAAGGGTATTTGGGGCTCCTACTATGAAGAAAATGGGAAATGCCTCCCCCCCTTTTATTCTAAGGCTTCAGTGCATAGTATTCAAGAGAGTGATAACGCGCTCACCAAAGTAATTTGGGGCGAGTCCGTACACTACTGCTATTGTATTGCATAACTTAGGGGCGAGTCCACACAATACTGCTAGTGTACTGTATGGAGTATTATGTATCCCAAGTATAGGCACCATTACGCGCCTTGCTAGGATGGTTCGAGTACTTCACGCGAGTCCAAATCGACTAAACCAAGTTCACACTATTTGGTAATAAACTTGCAACCCTACTTGTAGATGTCAGGTTACAGTAATGTGTGTGCGTGTATGTGTAATTGTGTATATATTTGTATGTGCGTGTATATAAGATTTGGTTATCAATGTAGAAATTATTAGAATGCACACCAATTTTCGAAATAACACTTTAATTTTTCAAACATATAATCTTTAGGTTTCTATAATAAATTTAGTGGAAGAGATTGTTAGTAGAGAGAGAGAGATTTCAAATGGCCTCATTATATGAACCCTATCTTTAAATTAATATTTCTAAATTTATGTTAAACACCACCATGTTATAAAAATAAAAAATACAATTAGACCATTTATTCCTAGGTAAAAAAAAATCTAACAATAGGCATTCATAGATGAGAGAGAAAAATAGAGCTAACATGCTCCAAGCCTATATTGTATTACCTTTACATATCTAATTTAAGGTTATAATAAGCGCAGCTTAAATGCATGCTTGAAAAGTATGATACTTGTTGCACTACCGTTTTATTTCATTTTTACAAGAAATACTTGTTGCATTACCTTTTATTTTTTTTGACAAGAAAAATATGATGTTGTATTACCTTTTATTTATATTTTGACAAGAAATACTTGTATTAAGAAATACCTTTTATTTTTTTCTTGACAAGAAATACTTGCAATATTACCTTCTTTTTTTGCCATAAAAATATGATACTTGTTGTATAACCTTTTATTTATTTTTGACAAAAAATACATTTTACTTTTTATTTGTTTTGAAGAGAAAAATAAGAAAATAACAAGTGATAACCAAATATACCAGAGCGCCACTTGTTGTACTATTTATGTGAATAAAAGGGCTATATTAGAAAGCCAAAGTATATTAAGGAATTATCCCACATCGAATAGATGTAGGAAGAATAAGCCCTATAAAACAAGAAAACCAACCCCTACTACCACGAAATATTGATGCGTGGCCACGTGTACATAAGTTTATCAACTCTGATGTCATAGGGCGATCCATGACATCATTTTAACGTGTAAGAGAATATTGTAATGTCATACACAAGAGAATATTGTAATGTCATACACCGATTTGTGACATCACGCACATGATTTACTGTACAGAATCGCCGGTTTTTCTCTAGAACTGGGCGATTCAATGTGCGATTCAACGTTTTACACAGGCGTTTAAGGGAAGATTGTAATGTCATACGCCAATCTATAATGTCATACAGGGAAGATTGTAATGTCATACGCCGATCTATAACGTCATACACGCGATTTACTGTACAGCATCGTCAGTTCTTCTCTAGAACCGGACGATTCAACGTTTTACACAGGTGTGTAAGGGAAGATTGTAATGTCATACGCCAATCTATAACGTCATACAGGGAAGATTGTAATGTCATACGCCGATCTATAACGTCATACACACGATTTACTGTACAGAATCGTCAGTTCTTCTCTAGAACCGAGCGATTCAACGTTTTACACAGGAATCGACACCAGTGCTTTAAAAAACAATGTAATGTCGTACGCCTTACTGTACAAAATCGCCGGTTCTTCTCCAGAACTGGACGATTCAACGTTTTACACAGGCGTGTAAGGGAAGATTGTAATGTCATACGCCAATCTATAACGTCCTACACACGATTTACTGTACAGAATCGTCGGCTCTTCTCTAGAACCGAGCAATTCAACATTTTACACAGGAATCGACACCAGTGTTTTAAAAAGTGACGAGTCGCAACAGACTCACCCCAGGAATCGAGACCAGTGTTTTAAAAAATGACGAGTCGCAACGGACTCGCCCAAGTTGACATTGTCGATTCTTGTGTAAAACATTGAATTCCTGTGTAAAACGTTGAATCGCCCGGCTCTAGAGAAGAACCGACAATTCTGTATAGTAAATCGTGTGTATGACGTCATAGATCGGTGTATGACATTACAATCTTCCCTTACACGTTAAAATGACGTCATGGATCGCTCTGATGACATTAGGGTCGATAAACCCATGTACAAGTGGCCACACATGAATATTTCGTGGTAGTAAGGGTTGGTTTACTTATTTTATAGAGCCTTTTCTTCCCACATCTCTTCGATGTGGGACAATTCCTTAATATACTTTTACGCTCTGGTATATTTGGTTATCACGTTCTTCTTACCCACTGAAGGTCCTTAGTTCGAACCTCCTAGGCGGCCCCATCTTCTTAATACAACAAGTATTTCTTGTTATTTTCTTATTTTTCTTGTCAAAAAAAAAAGTATTTTTTGTCAAAAAATAAATAAAAGGTAATACAACAAGTATCATATTTTTCTTGTCAAAAAATAAATAAGTATTTCTTGTCAAGAAAAAAATAGAAATAAAAATAAAAAGTAATACAACAAGTATTTTTTGTCAACAATAAAATAAAAAGTAATACAACAAGTATCATATTTTTCTGGTCAAAAAAAAAAAACAGGTAATATAAGAAGTATTTCTTGTCAAGAAAAAAATAAAAGGTATTTCTTAATATAACAAGTATTTCTTGTTATTTTCTTATTTTTCTTATTTCTCGTCAAAAAAAAAAAGAATACAAGTATTTCTTATCAATAAATAAATAAAAAGTAATACAACAAGTATCATATTTTTCTTGTCAAAAAAAAATAAAAGGTAATACAACAAATATTTCTTGTCAAAAATAAAATAAAAGGTAATACAACAAGTATCATGCTTTCAAGCATGCATTTAAGTTGTGATTATTATAAGCTTAAATTAGATATGTAAAGGTAATACAATATAGGCTTTGAGCATATTAGCCCTTTTTCTCTCTCTTATCTATGAATACCTATTGTTAGATGTTTTTTTACCTAGGAATAAATGGTCTAATTATATTTTTTTACTTTTATAACATGGCGGTCTTTAACATAAATTTAAGAATATTAATTTAAAGATAGAGTTCATACAATGAGGCCATTTGAAATCTCTCTCTATCTACTAACAATCTCTTCTACTAAATTTATTCTAGAAACCTTTTATTAATTTATTTGCAGTATAAATTATGTAATGTACTATTTTTTCTTACAGTTGTCAATAATATATTTTAAATTAGATGATATTATAAGATATATTGGATTTGTTATTATTTGTATAATAAAATAATTATAAAATATAAACCAATAATTTCAATATATAATATCATAGTTAGTTAGGTTGTAATAATTTTAGATTATAGTTAGTTAGGTTGTAATAATTTGGGTTTTTTTAGCGGATTAGGACTTTCCGCCAATTCGAGATTTTGGTGGCCATTTTTCATCGATTTAATTTATTATTTATTGTCCATGTATGATTATATACTTCATTCATGATAATTTTATGATTGATGTAAATTTAATAGTTAACATAAGTTCATATAGGGAAAGAACATCTCAATATTCCCATATTGATGAAAAAAATAAAAGTTAATAATGTAATACCCCCATTTCTTATTCAATTCCTAAAAAACAACATTGATAATGAATTTTAATAATTTTTTTAGATTTTATTTAAGGCTTAATCCGACCGATTCAGTTGATTCACCAATCCGTTTTTTAAACCACTGGTTTTTTCATTGTAACGGACCATACTATTATCATGCGACCCCAAAGGGCCAATTAAATATCACAGTAGATAATTCTCAAATTTTACCTAAGCGAATTGAGAGTTGAGACTGTAAAAAGAGATTACTGCATTTGTAGCAATGGATATATTGTATTTGTTCTAAAAACTAGTTTAGAGAGACAAAGTATCAATTGTTTCATTCACATACCGTTCTCTTTCTCTCTCTAGTCCTCGCCGTAAGCTCTGAACCGGTAGCGCTCCTCGTAGGGGCCTTCAAAGTAAAGGTCGGCCTCGAACCATTTGGGGTACCTTACGAGGTCCCCTTGCTCGAACCTCATGCACCTTTCACCGCACCCTCCAGGGACCACCTTGACGGTTCCTTTCACAATGTAGACCTGCTGGTCCACGTCCCAGTTCCAGGGCAACCGGCACCGGCCGGTCACCCATGTCGACCACCGGTCGACCCCCAGGGTTTTAAGCCTCTCCTCTGAGACCCCTCGCTCCACCCTGACGTTGTAGATCTCCTCCAGCGGTTTCTTGTACTTTGCGGCCTTCAATGGTGGTGAACCGCTGGGAGTTGATGGAGAACCGGTTTGGGTTGAGGCGGAGGGCGCAGTTTTGAGGCGGAGGGGCTTCTTGTGACTGGGGAAGGGAGAAGGAAAACCGGATAGAGAGGACGGAAAACTGAGAGTGGGAAAAGAGCAATTTCTGAAGGGGAAATGGTGGGTTTGGAGAGGGAGTGAGGGAACGAGAGAAGCGACCATGGCGGATTAGGTTAGAGAGAGAGAGAGAGAGAGAGAGAGAG